CCCGAAGAGCGGGCGACTGCAACCTGAACGCGAGGTGCACAGCCTGCTGAGGCTTCCCGAGGAGCAGGCTGCTGCCTCCATCGAAAAAAACGATCCTGGCGTCGATCCCCTACAGAAGCTAGGCGCATAACAGGTATTGGGTTCGCTTGCATTCCACATGCTCCAAGCATCGAGGCTTTGAAAATCACAGGGGGGTCGTATTTAGACTTAGTCTCGTCGAAGAGACCCGCCATTTCCGCACCAATAGGGGCCAGCACCGCTCGGCCTGAAACCACCAGACCGCAGTCTCGCACCCAATTCTCTCCAACTCGCTTTATCAAGCCTGCCTCCATCAGCTGGTATGAATACCCCTGTGATATCATGATGGAGCTTCTTCAACTTGAATGTCTCGACGCTCCATGCCTGGCCAACTACGCTGGGTTGTCCACCTGCTCCCTCGGGTTTTGCTTCGGGCTTGGGCGCAGGATTCCTCTTCCTGAACTCCCGCAATTCCGCTTGGAGTTCCGCGATCTGCTCAGCCAATTTGCCACTAAACTCACTACCAGCCCCAAACTCACCCAGTCTGTTCCCCGACCTGTCCAACTCGAGGTCCCGAGCATCGCCGTAGCGCTTGCGCCATTTCCTGCTTCCCTCGTTGGTATCGCTACTGCAACTCATATAATTCCGCCTGGAATAGCAAACACCTGTTGCTTCGCCGTACCTCAAGCCTTCTCATCCTCGCCTGTGGCTGATTGAGTTTACCCAAACTGTACCGTAGCATTTGCCAGCCACCCGTCTTTGTGCCACTGAATTTGCGCCGCCTGAGTGATGCGCCTGGTCAACACCTGCATATGGATAGCAGAAGGCGTTCTTTACTGAGGGGTCTCCTGTAAAATTACATTCTCATCTCTGGCACCCCTGATACATGTCTCTAAGTAGGTAGAAATACTGGCGCCACTGAATCTCCAGGACCTACCACCCCCTGCGATACAATGCTGGGCCTCTACTTGTTCCGCTCGGGATTCTAGACAGCGTCAGCGCCTGCGGGAGAACTACCAACACCAGCATCGACTTCCATGGTGCCAACATCGTTGGTGCTACAAGCTGCGCCTCGAGGGGAGTGATGCGAGCCAACGCCTGTCCCAGGTCCCCTTGGAGTCCCCACCACCAAATGCCGAGGGGGTACTTTCTTAACAGAGACCGATGAATCTTGACGCTGATTCCGAGGTGTGCAGACGCATGACTCTTTTGCGAAAGCGGCATCCCCGACATTGAATATTTCACGCCCGGCTTCCCGGAAATGACTCGAATAAAACTTGCACAACCAATCCAGCTGAAACCTTTGCCTTGGCATCCCGGGGCGTTAGCCCCGTTAGACCAGCTCGCCCCGTCAAGAGTAATCTCGCCTAGTTGGGGCTGAAGGCGAAATGAAATCCGTCGGGCGCCCCCTCTTTTTGTCGCATTAGGGCGGGAAGCTCGGACGAAATCCCGCGACGTGGACTTCAAACCGTGAACCGCTACGGATCCTCCTCCTCCTCCTCCTCCTCCTCCTCCTCCGCCTCCTCCGCATCCTCCCTCTCCTCCTCCTCCTCCGCCTCCTACTCCTCCTCCCTCCCCCTCTCATCTTCTCAGTTCTCGGGAGTCAAGGGAAGTTCCTTGAGGACCAGAGGTCTCCAGAGGCCCCCGGAGACCAAAGGTCTACAAATCCAAGAAGGCCCCTGCAAGCTCCAGCGGGGGGAGGAGGAGGGAGGGGGAGGAAGGGATCCTCCCCTTCCCCATCCTCCTTCTCCTCCGTCGTCGCGCTTTCCTCCGCCTCCTTTTGCTCCCTCTCACCGTCGCCGCGCCCTCTCCTTCCTCCACTTCCTCCACTTCCTCCTCTTCCTCCCTCCCCCCTCCTCCCTCCTCGGGCCTCCCCCTCCTCCTCCTTTGGTTCCTCTGGCTCCTAGAAAGACGGGCCGTCTGCGACAGCCTCTCCTACCTGCTAAACATTACAAGGAAAACCCAATCAGTGGATGACTCGAAAATTAATACTATGGATCCTGAGATCGATAGTGGAATCGATAGTGAGGACGATTGTGAGGTCGATCGTGAGACCGAGAGTGAAATCGATTCAATGAGATCGATAATGAGATCGATCGCGAGATCGCTCATGCGATCTCTAGTGAGATCGAAAATGAGATCGATTGTGAGATCGATAGAGAAATGGGTAATGAGATCGATGGTAAGACCGATCGATGAGAAAATCGACCGGGAACCCGGAAACCGGGAACCCGGAAACCCGGGAACATCGCCGCCCTCCGAAATCGGCCCGGAACGCCGAACACGGAAGGAACCGGGAACCTGCCGGGAACCCGGAACAGGGAACCCGGGAACCCAGCGTGCGACCAAAATCGGCGGGACACTTTCGCCAAATCCTTCAATTACACCTGGGAAAATCAAATCAGTGGATGATTTGAAAATTGATACTATAGATCTTGAGGTCGATTGTGAGATCGATGATGAGATCGATAGTGGAATCGATAGTGAGGACGATTGTGAGGTCGATCGTGAGACCGAGAGTGAAATCGATTCAGTGAGATCGATCGTGAGATCTATCGCGAGATCACCCATGCGATCTCTAGTGAGATTGATAGTGAGATCGATTGTGTGATCGATGGTGGAATCGATAGAGAAGTGGGTAATGAGATCGATGGTGAGACCGATCGATGAGAAGATCGACCAGAACCCGGGAACACGGAAACCTCGCCGCCCTCCGAAATCGGCTCGCGGAACCCGGAACCCCGGATCCGGGAACCCGGGAACCCAGTGTGCGACCAAAATCGGCGGGGCACTTTCGCCAAATCCTTCAACATCCGCGAGGACCCCTTTAATGCAAGCACTGATTGGGGAACATCCGCGAGGACCCCTTCAGTGCAAGCACTGATTGGGGAATCAAGAGCTCCGTCGATAGTGGAGACACTACATGCTTTGCACCTTGGGGCTCGAAACAAAATGAGTTCCCTCGGACCTCTCACCTAAATCTCTGTTAACCAAAGCCCGAGAAAGCGGGGACGGCAGACCTCAAAAGGAGTCCGACTGGGGTCCACGGCCCGCCAGAAGGCGTCCCAGGGTCCAGCGAGCCAGGCTGGCCACGTCCCAAAGGCGAGCTGGAAGAGACCGACATCTCTGAGCAAGGTCGGAAGAGGTCTGTCTACGCGCGTAAGCGCCACACACACACACACTTTACAGAAGGTCGCCTTGTCGCCCCCAGAAATTCCCGCACCGTCCTCCCGCGTCCGCCCACCCCAAGCCACCCACAACTCATGAGAAAAATGGGCGATAGCCACAGGCCTTGACACTCCTGGGTACGGGTGACGCGCTATGCGAGAACGGAGCCCCTGCCGAACCCCGCAAAGGCTGCAGCCCCAGGGCCTCCCAATATACGCAAGCGAGTGCCCAGTGGGTTTGGACACGAGTACCACCGAATTGCGGGAGGGGCCCCGGGGCCCGAGGGGGCCCCGACCTGGCCATCCAGCGCGGGCCCACTTTTGCAGAATCGCGGTGTGGTGCAGGAGCAGGCGCGTGGCGGCCTCAATTGCCGAGATCGCTCTGCTCACCAGCTCCTGGAGGCCCTGCATCCGGTGGGGGCGCGCACCCTCTTTGCCGCGCTTGTCCGCCTCACGCTGCTCTTTGTGCCAATGGCACGGCGCTCCTGAGCCCTCTGCGGGCGCCCAGCTGGCGTGGGCACGAGTCCAGCGAAGAGAAAAAAACGCCTCGCCCAGGTCCTCGATGTGGAGCCAGGCCTCCCTCCACAGCTCCGCGTACTTTGACTGCTCTGGGGCACGTCTTGCCACGCTCGTAATCGTCTACGGAGGCTTGGCAATCCGTGACGAATTTCAGCTTTCCGTAGTCTTTCTCGTACAGTTTTATGGCCAGCGCGTGGATTTCGGCATGTCTGGTTGCTCGAACCTGGCCCGGCACATTGCCACACATGCCTCCCAGAACTTCCGTCACAACCAACCATGAAACATGACCAATCGAACCCCGTCAACTCACCCCACATAGGCAACAACGCAGACCCATCAATGCAAACCGTGCCACGGAACAGCCCTTCTAAAACGAGGCCCGCTCTCATACACGTCTCCTCTGCAGCTGGCGGCGGCGCTCGATCAACTCCAAGAAGATGAGGCACCTGAACAACATGTCCGCGTCGTCTGAGGCGGCGCCTGCACGTCGGACATCCTCGAAGCCATGGCTCTGGCGACGGTGGCCGTGCCCTCGCAGCAGAACAGTCCGTGTCTTGCCTGTCCATATGCAGCCACCGCACCACTTGGAATTGGGGGTGAGCTCCACCCTCTCGGCGAACAAGTTGCACTGCGTGAGCAAACCCCCGCACGTCAGCGACACGAGAAGGGCCACCTGCTCCATGTCGCTCATCGCGCGCAACTGGTCCAAGGCCGCCGAGACTGGCGTCAACGTGGGTGGGCCATCGTTCCTCCTCCTCCTCCTCCTCCTCCTCCTCTTCCTTCTCCTCCTCCTCATCATCATCCTCCTCATCCTCCTCGTCCCGTCCCCGCCACATAATCAAAACAATCATCACCACCACCAGCACCATCATCATCATCATCATCATGGTGAACAGCACCATCATCATCATCAGCAGCATCATCGTAAGCATCCTCATCCTCATCCTCATCCTCATCCTCCTCATCCTCCTCATCCTCCTCATCATCATCAGCATCGGCAGCATCATCATGGTCATGATCATCATCCTCATCCTCATCATCCTCATCCTCATCAACACCAAACACCATCACCATCAAAACCGTCACCCTCCTAATCATCATAGCCAGGTCTTTCAGGCTCTGTCGAAACTTGTTCTACGGCTGCGGGGGCCAGGTGCCGCCCCCAACCTCCTGGCACAGCTCGGCAGACTGAGCAGCTCGTGGCCCGCGACCGACTGGACCGACCGACCGACCGCCTCGCCCTCCCCGGCCCCCGCACCCCTCCAGAGCCTCCCTCTGCATGACTGCCGCTCGCGCCTTCTCGACCTCCTCCTTGACGAGCGCGTTCTCGGCCTCGAGGGCCTGGTGCCTGGTCTCCTGGTGACGGCGGAGCTTGCGGCACAGGAAGGACACCGTGCAACGCAGAAGCACCACGGCTCGAGCAATGCTCAGCTTGGCACGTGTTTCTGAATGTGCCTACGAGTTGGGAGCAGTGGCGAGCTGCTGTGACGTGACTCTGGTCAACTAGACTCGACGCGCACCTGGCGCACCTGAGGGCTTGAACATGAAGGTGAAATGGTCTTATGTGAATGGCCAGACGCACGACCTCCCCTGGGGCCCAAATGGCGTCTTGGGTCCCTTGACGATTCAACATGAGCCTCTGGGCATCAGTGAGCACCAGCATATACGTTGCCCTCCTCTCTCCCAGGCTCCCAAGGACACGATCCATCGAAAAACGAACTGGGTCCGCACTCCCACTTACATTGTCTTTCGCAACACACTATTGGCAACCGCTCCAAAGGCGGGGATCCCTCGTATGAACCCGGCGCGGCCAGATTGAGGGTAGTATTGTCGAACGTGCACATGTGAACTGCAATGTAGCACAGCGAAGCCGTGCAAATTCGCCGACCCCTTTGAATTTCCTCGGCGTGTGGGTTGCTCCTTCCCAGACTCCTTTGCCCGGAGGCCGGATCGGCCGGTCTGGAGGGGGGGCGGCTGGCGGACTCATCTTGCCCAGAGAAGCTTCCAGGCGCGCAGAAGTTGTCAAAGAGAAGCCTCACGACGATCCAAAAGTGCTCTGGGACGGCCCAAGGTAGGTCCCAGAGGGCCCAAGCTGGCCTCAGCGCAGCCCTAGAGGCTCCCAAGGCGGGCCACTAGAGCCCCAGGAGGACCCCGAAGAGGATGCCAAGAGGCAAGAACCGCTGATTTCCCTCAGGTGGTTCGACATTGTTTGACGTGTTCGCCCTTTCAACCTTCTAGGGTGTCTACGACTTGTGGCGTCTCAAACCCAGATAGCGGAGCGGTCCAAAGCGTGTGAAAGCCTGTGGGAGACGCTTGCACGGACGCTGGAAATGATGTCTGAGAAGCTTGCAAGCTCGAGGAGGAGCTTCGCAGGAGCTCGGGAAGCGCTGCGAGGGAGCTGCGGAAAGGCTTCCGGCAAACGCATTGGGAACGAGTAGGAGAACGCCTTCGGGACACGCTGGAGGCTCAAACAACCTGATGCGACGTTCCTTGCTTGGCGCCGGAAAGAGCTCCGGGGCTTCTCATCTGAAAACCTCTTAGCCCTCAGAGAGCTATCCCAGAATAACCCAAGAGGCCCCAATATCGCTCCGAGACAAGCAAAACAGCTCCCAAGAGAGCTCCCAGACGCCCCTACGAGGGCCCCGAGACGTCCCCAAATGCTCCCAAGTCTGCCCAAGAGACCCCCATGAGGGCACCAGAATGAGCCCAAGAGGGGGAACTCCAAGGACCCCAGGAGCCCTCTTCCACAAGATGGCGTCCCAGACCCCCAAGAAAGCCCCAAGAGGTCCCCAAGAGAAACGAGCCCCGAGAGCCCCCTGGACGCTCCCAAGAGGCCCCCAAAACAACCGAACAAGGACACTTTTGAGCATAGTCAATCCCTCGGGAAGAGAGGCTTCCGGGGCTCCCAAATGGGCCAGCGGTGCGGCGTAAGCCCATGAATCATAATCTAAGACGTCAGAGTTCCATTCACTTGAACACCATACAGTCACAACTGCGTGGCATAGTAAGGCGTATCATTGCGTAGCACGACATGGAATTGCATTGCATGGCACGTCAGTGCGACGCTTGCCGCTTGCCCAAGTATTATGTAGTATTGTGCGACATAGCATGGCACAGCACTGCCAAACACCTCCCATACATCCTTCCCACTCCTCCTACTAGACCTTCTCCTCCTCCTGGAACAGCATTACATGGCACGTCAGTGCGATGTTTGTCAAAGTATTATGTAAGATTGTGCGACATAGCATGGCACAGCACTGCCAAACACCTCCCATACATCCTTCCCACTCCTCCTACTAGACCTTCTTCTCCTCCTCCTCCTCCCCCTCCCCCCCTCCTCCCCCTCCTTCTCCCCCTCCTCATCCTCCTCCTCGTCCTCCTCGTCCTTCTTCGTCATTCTTCGTCCTCCTCCTCCTCCTCCTCCTCCTCCTCCTCCTCCTCCTCCTCCTCTTCCGCCTCCTTCTCCCTGCCCGCGCACGCGGGGAGGAGTGGGGAAGGGGAGGAGGGGAGGAGTAGGGAGGAGGGACGAGGCATGATTGACCGTGATTGGAACGAGGGACGAACGGGGAGGAACGAAGGAAGAGAGGGCATCCTCGCTCAGACCTTGTCCAACGGCATGACATCTCGAACTCTCGAAACTGTTCCCGGGACCGGTTCTTCGTTGTCGTCGTCGCCCTCCTCCTCCTCCTCCTCCTCCTCCTCTTTCTCCTCCTCCTTCTCCTCCTCCTCCTCCTCGCCGGCGCAGTCGCCGTCGCCGTCGCCGTCATCGTCGTCGTCGTCGTCCTCCTCCTCGTCGTGGGGGGTTGGTGGATGGTGGGGCTAAGATATCATGACCAGACGGGGATTGTGCTAGGTTCAACGATACCGGATGATACTTGATGAAGACAAATTCGGATGAGGATGAATCGGGGATTTCTGAGAACCGACACGTCTGGGTCTGGAGGGACGTATCGGGCGCCGCGGACGTTCAACGCTCTGAGAGGGTTCTGGAACGCTCTGGGCCTGCCTGATACTGCGCAAGCCATCGGGGACGCACTAGGCCGGGTCGGCCAGAGCCTTGTCGCGGAGCTGCGGAAAGCATTCCGGCAAACGCTTTGGGAACGAGTAGGAGAACGCCTTCGGGACACGCTGGAGGCTCAAACAACCTGATGCGACGTTCCCTGACTGGCGCCGGAATGAGCTCCGGGGCTTCTAATCTGAAGCCCTCTTAACTCTCGGAGGCCTATCCCGGAATAACCCAAGAGGCCCCAATATCGTCCCAAGACAAACAAAACAGCTCCCAAGAGGGCTCCCAAACGCCCCTACGCGGTCCCCGAGACGTTCACAAATGCTCCCAAATCTGCCCAAGAGACCCCCATGAGGGCACCAGAATGAGCCCAAGAAGGGGAACTCCAAGGACCCCAGGAGCCCTCTTCCACAAGATGGCGTCCCAGACCCCCAAGAAAGCCCCAAGAGGTCCCCAAGAGAAACGAGCCCCGAGAGCCCCCTGGACGCCCCCAAGAGGCCCCCAAAACAACCGAACAAGGACACTTTTGAGCATAGTGTTAACTTTTCCGGATGGACGCACGGCGTCAAGAAACTTATTCGACAACCCCTCGAGACGAGAGGCTTCCGGGGCTCCCAAATGGGCCAGCGGTGCAGCGTAAGCCCATGAATCATAATCTAAGACGTCAGAGTTCCATTCACTTGAACATCATACAGTCACAACTGCGTGGCATAGTAAGGCGTATCATTGCGTAGCACGACATGGAATTGCATTGCATGGCACGTCAGCGCGACGCTTGCCCAAGTATTATGTAGTATTGTGCGACATAGCATGGCACAGCACTGCCAAACACCTCCCATACATCCTTCCCGCTCCTCCTACTAGACCTTCTCGTCCTCGGCCTCCTCCTCCTCCTGCTCCTCCTTCCCGTCCTCCTCCTCCTCCTCCTCCTCCTCCTCATCTTCTTTGTCATCCTTCGTCCTCCTCCTCATCCTCCTCCTCCTCCGTCTCCTTCTCCCTGCCCGCGCACGCGGGGAGGAGTGGGGAAGGAGAGGAGTAGGGAGGGGGACGAGGCATGATTTGGAGTGATTGGAACGAGGGAAGAGTGGGGAGGGACGAGGGAAGAGAGGGCATCCTCCCTCAGACCTCCGATGTCGAGGTTTATCCAACGGCATGACATCCTGAACCCTCGAAACTGCTCCCAGGGCCGGTTCTTCGTTGTCGTCGTCGCCCCCCTCCTCCTCCTCCTCCTCCTCCTCCTCCTCCTCCTCCTCCTCCTCGCCGTCGCAGTCGCCGTCGCCGTCGCCGTCATCGTCGTCGTCCTCCTCGTCGTGGGGGGGGGGATGGTGGGGCTGAGATACCATGACCAGACGGGGATTCTGCTAGGTTCAACGATACCGGATGATACTTGATGAAGACAAATTCGGATGAGGTGAATCGGGGATTTCTGAGAACCGACACGTCTGGGTCTGGAGGGACGTATCGGGCGCCGCGGACGTTCAACGCCATCGGGAACGCACCAGCCCAGGTCGGCCAGAGCCTTGTCGCGAAGCCTGGCCGGCCGCTCAGTAGCTCCCAACCCCCGGGCAAGCGGAGGGCGGCAAGGGGAAAGGAATCGGCCCGTGGGTCCCAAACCCGGGTCAGCCAGAAGCGGTTGGCTGACCCCCGTTAGCGCTGACCCCCGTTTCGTGAGTCCCGTTCGAAAGCTGGGCGAGGGCTGCTAAAACCGTGGCTGCTAAAACGGCCCTCCCGGAAGGATAAAAACAACTTCCCGGAATGAGGCGTGGCACGCGAAACAGTCAACGGGCTTCTTCCCGGAAGGACGAAGACAACTTCCTGGAGTTCGATTTTAGCAGCCACGGATTTAGCAGCCCTTGCCCGGCTTCCGACCCGTGGGGGGCTCCCTTTACTTCCGCTGGCTGCAGCTGGCAGTCCGCCGCCGCCCGCCAGGCCCCACCCGCGCTCGGCGTGCGCCGCCCGCCGCCGCGGAAGGGAGGGCAACTTCTCGATCCTTCCACTCGGGCCGGGCGAAAGGGGGGGATAGCAAAGGGGGGGATTGAGAATCAGCTCGCGTAGCTGATTTTCCTGGCGCCTCCCGGCGCCGGAGGCGGCTACGTATCGAGGAATGGGCCCCTCGGTGGGGCCGAAACCAGCTGCATGCAGCAGATTTCGTAACCCCCCCTTTCCCAATCCCCCCCTTTCGTCCGACCCGATCCACTCCGACGTTTCGACCTGCTTCGTGCCGTCGGCTCCTGGGGATCTCGACCACTTCCCCAGGGCCAGACTTTCGTCATGCGCCGTTTTCTGAAGGCCCTGGGGCCAGGAAGCGGCCTGCAGAGGCTGAAAGGGACGAGGAACCAGCCGTCGCGAGTTGTGTGTGCAGCGCGGCAAGGCGAGGCGAGGTGAGGCCCTTGTTGGAACGCCCTACCCCTGATCTGAATCGGCGAATCCTGCTTGTTAATGCGCTGCATGTACTCGAGGTTCTTGCTGTCGACCACCTGGAGCGCCTGCCCCAAGGACTCCATGTCGACTCTGGTCCTGGCCTGAACCGGGGGAGCCCTCCTCCTCCTCCTCCTCCTCCTCCTCCTCCTCCTCCTCCTCCTTAATCCTCCTCCTCATACCTCCTCCTCCTCCTCCTCCTCCTCCTCCTCCTCCTACTCCTCCTGCACCTCCTCAGCCCTCCACTTCCCCCTCGTCACCGTTCTCACAATCCTCCTCCTCCTCTTCCACCTCCTCCATTCCTTTTCTTTATCAATAACTTCTCCCTGTCGCACCCCGAGGCCAATTTTCAGGGCGGACCGGGCGTTTCGCATGAGAGCTCCTCACTACTTATGACTCTGAAGCTTAAACATTTGGTAACCGCTTCACATATGGAGGGCGGGTGGTTCTCAAAACGTGGCTCTCTTCTCAGCGCCGCGCACATTCGCTTTAAACATTTGCAAGCGGTTCACGGATTGAGGGCGGGTGGTTTTCAAAATGTGGCTCTCTTCTTAGCGCGGCGCACATCCGTTTTATAATTGGAAGAGCTTCACGGATTGAGGTGGCGCCGCGCACATTCGTTTTGAACATTGGCAAGAGTTTCACGGATTGAGGGCGGTTCCTTTTCAAAATGTGGCTCCCGCCTTAGCGCGACGCACATTCGTTTTACACATGTGCAAGCGCTTCACGGATTGAGGGCGGCTCCTTTTCAACATGTGGCTCTCGCCTGAGCGCCGCGCACATTCGTCTTAAACAATTGCTAGAGTTTGACGGATTCCCACCATCAACGTAACAGAAATTGTATTTTGAATGGATTCAGGGCTACGCGGGCGCAACAGCTACGTTGAGTCGCTGTGTTGACGTCCCAGGAATGGCGTTCTGGCACGGTCCTGGATCGTCAACACGCAACTGTCAGGTTGATCCATGGCGTTGGAATCCCGAGAACAATGTCTTAGCATTCTGCAGGGCCTTCAAACGGTTGTCCTTCAACGAGGCAGTTCCCTCAGTGGAGATGAACCGCTGTAGGGGCCTATGAAGAGGGAGCTTGGAGGAAGGGTTTATTCAAACATCGCTGATGTCTCTTAGGTTGACACTGGTCCTCCTCCTCCTCCTCCTCCTCCTCCTCCCTGCCTTTCCTCCTCGTCCTGCTCCGCCTCATCCTCCTCCTCCTCCCCCTCCTCCTCCTCCTCCTCCTCCGCCTCCTCCTCCTCCTCCTTCTCCTCCTCCCCCTCCTCCCCCGCAGCGCGCAGAAAAGGGGGGGCGGGGGGGGGGGGGGGGGGGGGGGGAGAAAATGCAAGGGAGGGAGAAGGAGGAGCGAGGTGGAGAGGGGGAGGTGGAGTGGTGGCGAGAAAAGAGAGAATATGGAAGACGGAAGCTTGAGTGAGGCGAAGGGAGGATGCGATGGGAGGAGGACGGAGGAGGGAGGGGGAGGGAGTGAGGATAGGATGGAGGAAGTGAGATAGAGGACGGGTGAGATGGAGGAGACTGAAGGGGGGGGGAAGTGAAGGAGCGAGAACGGAGGGAGCAGGGAAGGAGAAAAAATGTGCGGGAGGGGTGAAGAGGATGGGCGCGAGGAGAGGAAGAAGGCCTGTGAGAAGGGGGACGACCCCCTCCTCTCCTCTCATCCTCTCCCATGATTCATCCACCCCTTGCTCGTCCCTCCCCCTCATCTTCCCTCCCCCCTTTTTCCTGCTCCATCCCCACCTGCTCCCTCGCTCGTCCCTCCTCCCCACCCTCCCTCCATCACCCCGGACCGCTCATCCATCCATGCTCCCTCCGCCGTCCGCCTCACTGTCGCCGTCCACCTCCTGCGCCTCCTCACCCTCGGTTAACAGCCTCTCTCCTCGGTTCCGCCCCTCCTTCCCCGCCTCGCGCTCCACTCTCCCGCCCCAAACTTCCCAACCACTGTTTACCAGTTTCTCCGCATCCTCCTCCTTCTCTTCCTCCACCTCCTCCAGCCCTTTCCCCCAATCCTCTTCCTCCTCCTCCTCCTCCTCCTCCTCCTCCTCCTCGTCCTCCTCCTTCTCCTGCCCCTCCTCCTCCTCCTCCTCCTGCTCCTCCTCCTCTTCCTCATCCCCCCCCTCCTCCTCCCTCCTCCTCCTCCTCCCTCCTCCTCCTCCTCCTCCCTCCTCCTCTCCTCCTCCTCCTGCTTCCTGCTCCTGCTCCTCCTCCTCCCTCCTCCTCCTCCCTCCTCCCTCATGATTTTTATCCTCACCCTTCGCTCCACACTCTGTCCCATGCTGCCGTCCCCACACCTTCTCCTCCCTCCTCCTCCTCCTCCTCCTCTCCTCCTCCTCCTCCTCCTCCTCCTCCTCATCATCATCATCATCATCATCATCATCATCCCCCTCCTCCTCCTCCTCCTCCTCCTCCTCCTCCTCCTCAGACGTAGCCTCGGAAGGAGCTCGTCCACTCCAGCCCCCACAGGGCTCAGCTTGCTGCAGGAACTGCGATCTCGCAGCCCGAGCACATTGATGTAAAACCTCCTCGTCGATGTCATTGAACCGATGGACCGAATTGTACAAATAAAACGCGATGATGAGTCTCTCGGGCGCTCTCAGTCTCTGGGGCTCCGACATTTCCCGAGCGAGACCGAGGCGACGATCGAGGAACACTTCGATGGGCTCCTGGGGCCACCACACTGATAGCACCGCCCCCCATAGGAACGGGCACGCCATATAATGAGCTTGCGCGTCCAAGGCGTCCGTGCATCCGAATTTGCAGCGGCAGTCGGCCTGTGTCATCCTCCGCTCCGTCGTCCACCCACCCACCAGAGTTTTGATGACCGAGCTCTGCCACGCAGGGGGAAAGCTAGCTAGGCACTCACGAAGCGCAGGCCAGCTCACCCCCGCCCGTGCCCGACGGGATGGGGTCCGAGACGCCCACTTGGCCAGGCGCCTCCAGATGATAGGGGCGAAATCTTCTACAAAAAGAGAGCTGGCCAATGATCTGGCGAGAGTGCGCTGCACAGGGGCGCGTGGGTCCACCCGCTGCGCCTCGTCGAAAGCTTCGAGGGCCACCGCGATCGCCGACCTCAGAGAAGCCCCCCCAGGAAACCCTCGATCCGCTCTCGCCAGCTCCTGTACACACGGGGGTGACTGCCAATGCGCAGGCGACCAGGCGTCTGCCAACCACATCGTCATCGGGAGGGCCGGCTCTGCCACCTTCTGAAGTTTGGACCAGAGCGGCCTCCAGTTCGTGACCGTGCACCTGGCAGTCCGAATCATCGCGGCCACCGACTGGGCTTGCATCGACAGAGGCCTCAACTTCGACCAGTGGCGCAGTGCAAGCAATTGATCCAGCGGCATCGAACACGGCGGAGTATGCAATATCTTATGCAATGTCCAGGACTCCCACTTTGCTATGGCTCTGGGTAGCGGGCTCAACTGCGCCAGATAACCGAATTTTGAAACAGCACGCGAATTGTACATGTACAAAGCCACCGATGGAATGGGCACTGGTCTCTGCGATGCTCATCACCACCCCCACCCACTCCCGAAACGCCCTCGCCCACGCATGCTTCGTCGCAGCAGGACCAGACCATGCACCTAAATATTCGGCAGCACCCACGATCGGGATCGATCGCCACCGCGGCACTAGCTTGGCCAGTCGCTCCTGGACTTTCACTTGGAGAGGGGAGGGGAAGGCCTCAGAGACGGGGACGAGGCGAGATTTGGGAATCTTGAGAGCGAGGCCAGCTAGGAAATCCGCGGCGTAAAAAAAAAACACCTGAAAGCCTGGAAGGGGCCTGCAACTCAGCTACCGTCGCACCGATGTCATCCGCGCATGCTCTGATTTCACATCCTGGATGTTTGCGAAGCCTGGAACGCATGTCCCCCAGGAAAGGATCCATCGCAAGAGCCCGCAGAGTGCCAGAAGCGGGGCCCCCCTTGCATCGCACCAGACATAATCGCGCAGCATGTCCACAACTGACCTAGGACGGCCGTTCGAGACATCGCAAAGGCATATGTGGCTTGGGCAAGCTGAAGAAGTCCTGTCGGGTAGCCACAGCGTTCGAGCACTGCCCAGAGGAAAGGGTGGAGGAGGGAGGGGAAGGCACTACCGAAGTCGAGGAAGAGACGACAGGGGAGACGAGAACTGGCGTCTGGGTGCATGCTGGCTATGCGTGCCGAAGTGTCGAGCGATGTTATAGTATCCAAAAAGTTTCTCTTCACTCGAAATCCGCGTTGGTCAGGGTGAGCCTGATGCGCAACCTGTCTCTTCACCCTTTCATTGCACGCCGAGGCTAAAATTTTCACATCTGCGTTCTTCAGCGCCAAGGGTCTCGTATTATGTGGCTCACGTAGCACAAAGGACGCGCCCTGCTCCCGCCTACCCTTGGGGGCGAAAATCAGGAGGAGGTCGTTCAAAGAGGTGGTGTGTGTGTGTGTGTGTGTGTGTGTGCGTGTGTGTGTGTGTGTGTGTGTGTGTGTGTGTGTGTGTGTGTGTGTGTGTGTGTGTGTGTGTGTGTGTGTGTGTGTGTGTGTGTGTGTGTGTGTGTGTGTGTGTGTGTGTGTGTGTGTGTTGTGTGTGTGTGTGTGTGTGTGTGTGTGTGTGTGGGGGGGGGGGGGGGGGGGGGGGGGGGGGGATACCCACTCAAGAGCTCAATCAGGAGCCCACGCAAAACTTCTTGCGACATCGGACTCTGCTGCCGCGCAGCATGGGGGAGTCCATCTGGCCCAGGGGCCGTCGGTTTAGCCCGTTTGATAACGCTGGCAATCGCAAAGACAGTGGGCGGGACCGCATCCGAACAAACAAATCGCTTCACGCGCTTGTCAAGTTAGGACGTGAGATGGCCTCGCGACACAGGGCGGGGCGCAAAGACGGGGTCCCAGTGGCTCCGAAGAGACTTGACCGCGGCCGAGGAGGATGCAACCACCGAACCGCCAGGAGCGAGAAGGCCCTGAAGAGGAAGCGTCTTGCCCTTCGGAGCCAAAAGTTCACCCCTGCGCCTCGCCGCCCGCGCATAAGCACGCAGGCGCTTCTTCTCAGACCAGCTGGGCGAGTCTTTCGCCTGGGTCTCCGACCTGCGAGATCTATCCTCAGTAATCTCCTGCTGCAGCGCTTCATATTTCCTACGAAAGTCCATGGGCCAAACGAGAGACACAACCTGCTCCCACGAGATCGACAACATCTCCGATGGGAAGGGGCCAGACGCAAGTGGCGTGCGAGCTAGCCTGACACCATGGAAATGAATTGCGCGTGCAATGGACCGAAAAAGAACTAGCTTCGCCCCCAGCGGAGGCGTTCGCATGCTCACGAGCTTGTTACGCGTCAGACGGACCGCCTCTCTCAGCAGTCTCTTGTACTCCGCCCACTTGGGGATCGCCTGCAGGGAGTGGATGTACGAGTGGCTCATCAGCAGATCTAAGTAGCACTTGAACTCTGGCTGCTTGCATATGAAGGCAGGCACAGGCTGATCCTCCTCTGGCTTCAAGTCCCTGGGGGCGAAGCTTATCTGCACTGGAGAGTGATCCGATATTCCCTCAGCGAACACCTCTTCTGGCGGGTAGGCAACTGTTGCAGCAATCGACCATTGGATCAGAACCCAAGGCTGAGTACTTATGAATACCCTATCCAGCTGTGTTAATCGTTGGTCATATTTGATAAAGTGCGCGGGCAGCTCTGGGTCCAGTTCAGCCATCCCCGAGAAGGCAGCCGCCCGCACATCTCCGAACTCTCTTTGACGGGGAGGGTGCACCAAGCCTTTGTCAATCTCAGGAACATGAAGATGCATCGCCGCCGTCTCCGCATAGTTGAAGTCACCCATTGCAAGCACGGTAGTCCTGCGCGGACTTTGGGCAGCCACAGACGACTCCGCTGAGATCCTGGAGGCAATCGTGTCCACCTGCGCCCTGGTCAACCCGAAGTTGTGGATGTTGTGCGCAATTGTCATGGTATCAGCCCGATGCTCATTCGCTCTCGCTTTGATCATGATACGGTGTGCCCTGCCTTGGGCCAGGATCTCATGTTTCAATCTTCCAACTCTGATCGCCTCCTCCGCCTCCAGCTGGGACAACTGGGATAAGATGACCGCTGCACCTCCCGAGTCGCGCTGCGAAACCGACCCCGGCACCGCTCCAGGAATACGATGAAGATAACAGTGATGCTGGAACTCTTCCAACGTTCCGTGAACTTCCTGCAAACAAATGATCGCCTGACGCCTGCACATCATGGCCAGCTTCCTGAACTTCTTGCGCCGTACCTCTGGCTTGTGGTGAAGGAGAGCCCTGCCATTCCACGAAGTGATCTGAATCTGCGCTGTCGGGTATGCACGATAATTCTCATGCCACGTGTCCAACGTACTGCTAAATACTCCACTTAATTTCCTGCTCTGAATGGAAACGAGAATTGAAAGCCGCCAGCAGCGTCGTCTTGTCCACACCATATTGTTGGACCACATTGTAGTTCCACCGCAAAGATGAAGGCTGATATTTTTGAAGTCCTGTCTGGATCTGGACGCAGGGGACCCCATCCAGAAATATAATCCCTTTGGACCTGTCGAATCGATGTCGTAAACCAGGATAGGCGTCACGAAGGAGCTGTGCCACAAATTTCGTCTGAATTTCTGTCCTGACCTGTTTCGCAGACTTATCACATCCAACGAATACTCTAGAAGTTCCATTCTCGATTGTCTTCGCCTCGAAGGATCTCCATTCACCATCTTTCCTGAGAGCCCTGCGCGCATGTGCTGCCCGTCTGGAGGCCGCACCGACGTCACCCGCGAACTGGATGACGCACCTGCGAGATGGTGATGGGCCAATAACTTTCCACTTGTCCGACTCAATGTTGGCCTCCTCCAGCCACGGGGTGATGGCGCGCTTGAGCTCCTCCACTGCGACATTCGCCGAGGTGTTTGCACATAAAACTGTGGTGTCATGATCGCGATCCCATTCAGCCATTGAGTCCAAATCTTTGATGGGCACAGTACTCTCTGCCACATATAACGCTTTTCTGATCTGCTTGAGCTGCTCTTTGAAGTCGTTCTGAGTCTGCTCCTGAACCTGCTGTCTGGCCCTGAGCTCCTCCAGCTCCGACCGCAGCTGGAAGTTCGTCTTTTCTTGCCGAGCCACCACCGCCTTGACCAGAGACTCTGTGTGGGAGGAGACCGATGCCACAATGCCCCCCTTGATGCCTGAGATCTGCTCCGCGATGGACTTCTGCATGGCGGACTGGAACTGGGCCAGCATCGCGGCAACGTCGGAGGGGTCTCCGTTGAAATCGTCCAGGTCCTCAACGTCCACCTGCTTGCCCGAGTCCCCTTGGCTGTCATCAGGCGGGAGCGGGGTGGACTGGGTGCCCTGCGGGGTGGAAGGCGCAGGGGCGTCCCTGCCAGGAGCATGCTGTTGCCTTCCTCCACCAGCAGCACCTTTGCCACGCCAAGGGTCAGCATCTCCAGCCAGTGGATCGCCACCATGATGATCAGCAGAAGCGCGGCCACGACCCGAGGCGCGCAAGGGCCGGGCAACGGGCGGCTCCGCCCCCGCGGGGCGGGCAGGCGAACGCGAGGAGGAACGCTCGCCTCTGCCGCCATCGCCGCCAGGCATCGGGTGCGGGGCCCGAGCAGGTGGAAAGCTGGGCCGAAAAGCCGATGGAAGTGAAGATGGAATGATCGGTGCTGCAACCAACAGCAGGAATCAGAGTGGCCTGTCGCTCGAGGACGGGCGACGGATCGGTCAAAGCTAATCGCGATTCGGTATGTTAAGTTACCTTCACACGTTTAGCCTTGAGCCAAAATGGCTACGGACCTCCTCCTCCTCCTGCTCCTCCGCCTCGTCCTCCTCCTGCTCCTGCTTCTCCTCCTCCTACTTCTCTTACTCCTCCTCCTCCTCCTCCTACTCCTCCTGCCCCGCCCCCGCTCTTCCTCATCACAATCATCACCTCGTCACCCTCCCCAGCATGCCCTCTTCCTAAGAAGCACCTCCTCCTCCTCCTCCTCGCACCACGTGGTGTGTCGGCAGAGAGAGCCGGGCGCTTCGCCTGAGAGCTCCCCACCACTCCTGATCCTGAAGCTTGAACGTTTCAATCAGCAACACTGGTCTTCACAAAATGTGGCGCTCGCCTTCGCGTCACGCACATCCGTCTGCAACGCTTCCATTGGTTACAAGGGTGGAGGGCGGTTCCTTTTCAAAGTGGGGGTGTCGCTTTAGGCTTCCTCACGTTCCACAAACACTGCTTGAACCGAAAGGCTCTCACATGGGTGTTAAAACATTGGCTGCTGCTTCTGGGTTTTCCCCTGGTCGGCGCCCGCGGACGCCCCCGTGCGCTGGCTGGCGTTTCGGGAATGTCGGCCAATGGGCACGCGTGGCTGGCGGCTGGCGTTTCCGGACTTTTGGCCTGAAAGCGCCCGTGGTGACCTCGTGGGCACCTCCTGCGCTGGGCACCCGTGACTGGCGTTTCCGGGTTGCACAGCTTAACCTGCACCACATAAATCGTACAGCCTAGAATGCAACACGTAGATTGGAGCTTGCAACACACACACACACACACACACACACACACACACACGCACGCACACAGACGCGCACACAAACACACACCCACACACATTGCACAACATCGATTCCATAATCTAGCACGTAACAATATCTTCCGCTGCACTGACTACATCCCAGCACTTGCACATCAGAGTGCACATCGAGGGTGAACAAGCCTCTTGCTGGGGGGCCACGCTGGTACACACAGTATGTTGAAACGTAATAGCTTTTGCAAAAACTAAGGGGATGGAGGACGTTTTCTTGTCAACACGGGGCTCTCGCTCGAGATTTCCCCAAATCTGTGATCAGAAGTGTAAGGCTTATTGGGCACCTGGATCCCTACCTCCTCTCCGCCTCTCCTCCTTTCTCACTCGTCCTCCATCCTCCCTCTCGCCATCCTCATCCCGCTCCCCTTCCGCGGCCTTCCTGTTTTCCTGATTATCATCCTCAACCTTATCATCCTCCTCCTTCATCCGCCCTCTCACCCGTGCTCCATTCATCCGTTCATGTCTGTCCTCCCTGGCCACCCCCCTCCGCATCTGGCCCACGCCCCCCATCCTCACCTCCACCAGTCAATGCCAAGGGGGGTCAGCACTATTCTGGGCCGCCATCTCCTCAAGGGAGTTCCATTTCCTCGAAGAGATGGGGGACCAAGAACACTCCAGAGACCCCCAAAATGACACCAAACGTTCAGACACGTCGAAAAGCTTCGATCCTGGAACCTCCATCCTCAGGCGGAAATGGTGACGCCCCTAATGGTCACCCCCCGTGGCACTGCCCAAAACCGTGGACAGGCCCCAACGCTCCCCACCCTGTTCCCGGGTACACTTTTCCGTCCCGTGCCCATGTCCATTGTCCGTGGGTTACGAAAGCCTTGGCGGCCATGCTACACCAACGACTACTACGAAGAGGGGCAGACGCACGTACGCGACGATCTCAATTCGGATTTCGCCATCGCCGCGGTACGGCCGACGCACTTATGTCGGTGAGGCGTACACTTGATGCAGCTCTGTTGAACAACAGTGGTGGGCTGAGTACACTTCTTCTTGATTGGGCTAAATCTTCTGACAGCCTAAAACCCGATTGTCTTTGCGCTGCTCTGGACCGCTTTGGCTTACCACCACCCATGGCAGATCTGATAGAAGGTAGATATGCTCATCGCTAATTCACCATGGTTGACCATTGTGGGAGATCTTCAGAACGCCGCCAAGCAGCCGGCATCGCCCAAGGGTGCCCTTTATCGCCGCATGCATCTATTAGAATGCAAACAGTCATGTTGCAGGACGCGTTTGGTGGTTTTATCTTGACCCAGGACTGGACTACATGGTGGCACCACATGATCTGCATGCTGACGACACCGCCCTGGTATCCCAAAGCGCCAAGAATTTACAACGCAATTTGGAAGCTACTGTGTAGGAAGGGAAGAATCACGGTCTCGAGCTCAATTGGAATAAAACTGCGCGTATGCAAATACCGACTGGCGAAAATGTCAAGTCACCAGAGGGGGAGCCGATCAAAATCGTGGAGCAAGCTGTTTATTTGGGAGACTTGCTGACAAATGATGGTCGCGTTGGAAACGAATAGTCAAGGCGACTGGGTGGAGCCAATGCAATGTCCCGAGAAGTCTGTAAAGTTTGGAATCACTCAGGTATCGGCAGGAAGCGAAAGCTCCAGATAAATTCATCTTGCGTGCTGAGCAAGCTGCTGTGCTCCCTTGATTCGATGTGGCTCTTGAATACAAGGACAGCGACAGGTTGGACGCCTTCCATTGCAAGAGCTTGCGAAAACGTCGGAGGGCATCGCCTTCTTACTTTTCCAAAATTTCGAATGCTACTGTGTTAGGCAACGACGATTCCGAGCCTTCGTCCGCGATTCTACGCGACCAGCAAGCAAACTTATACAGGAAGATCGTTTCCCAGAACGGCGCCTCGCTTAGTTAGGCAATTCGTTTGCGACGCCAGCGGTGACCCAAAGAATTGGGCCGTCCGCAGACGCCGGAGCCGCCCTAGACAGCAGTGGGCGATGTCAACTCACAAACTTTTACTATTTGCTCCCGTCTCCCTCCTCCGCCAGAGTCTGCGCACTGCCTAATCTGCCCACGCTTCCGTCAGGGATGCAAGGCTACATGCAGTCAGTCAGTCAGTCAGTCAGTCAGTCAGTCAGTCAGTCAGGGCCAGATATCTGGCCCAGAGCCTGGAATCAAAGAACAACGCCCCAGTTGAAAAAGCACATCACCGGGGATCTGGGAGAAGGGTGCCGAAGAGAGGTGGCCTCGGAATTCTGGATATTGGTGCGCAGGGTCTCGTTGATATTGCGCTGGCCGCGGACGTTCGCGACCGTGTCGGCGCACCTGAGGCCGAGGGCGCCCGCCCCTCTCCCTGTGTACACCTCATGCTGCTGCTGCTGCTGCAGCTGATGCCAATCCTCCTCCTCCCTCTGGCCTTCCTGATCATCCTATTCGATCTCCCCCCTTGCTCATCCGTCCTCTCCTCGCCCTCCTCCTCCTCCTCCTCCTCCTCCTCCTCCTCCTTCTCCTGATGCCCTTCCTCCTGATGCTCCTCATCAACCTCGCCATCCGCCTCCTTCTCTTCACTTTCTCCTCATCTCGTCCTCACCAACCTCAACCTTCATCCTCCTCCGCCTCCTCATCATCATCATCACACGTTCCTTTCTCCCTCCATCCGTCCTGTTTGCCCTCCCCACCTCCTCCGCATTTCCTCCCTCCATCCTCATCATCACACTCCCCCCATGTCGTCCGCAAAATTCACCACCCCGACGTTGCCTCCCTCTCTCCTTCGCTCGTCTGGTCAACCCCCTCCAAATTTGCTTGCACCCTGCACCCGCCTCCCTCTTCCTCCTCCTATTCCTCCTCCTCCTTCTCCTCCTTCTCCTTCTTGTGCTCTTCCTGGGACCGCTAGCGCACCAATGTTCGTTCCTCTTCCTCCTCCTCCTCCTCCTCGTCGTCGTCATCCTCGCCATGATCGCCATCATTATCATCATCCTCAGCAGCAGCATCAGCATCATCTGCAGCATCAGCATCAGCATCACCACAATCACCAGCAGTATCAACACCATCATCAGCATCATCATCATCAGCAGCATCATAATAATCATGACCATACTCAAAACAATCACCATCACCACCATCACCCTCCTCATCACCATCACCATCACTATCACCTTCATCATCCGCATAACCATCAGCATCATCATCACCAGCATCAATCATAATCTTCATCACGACCATAATCATCTACATCATCAACGGCATCATCATCAATACCATCATCACCATCAGTTTCTTCATTATTTTTTCCAGCGGACTATTTTGGGAGACGAATGAGGAGGACGAGCAAGGGGACGACCGCGACGCACCACATGTACTCTCCACACCGCCTGCCAGGCCCAACACAAACAACTTGGGCTCACATATCAAAGCAAACGCATGTGTCACGGATTCGGTGCACGAGCAGTAGCACGAGCAGTAGCACGAAGAGGAACATCGAGACGTCTCATTCGAATAAGACGAAAAGCCCGGAGCATGATACATATACCCAATGCCAACATGCGAACGCGGAGCGATACGAACATATCCCATTTCGTATCGGTGAGACCTGGATGGAAACGAAGGGGACGAGCAGGAAGGCAGATGAAGAGAGAGCCGGCTGGATGAAACAGCATGGAGAAGAAAGGCGAAGACACGCTCACAGCCAGGAGGCTCCGCGAGTCGTATGCCCATCGCACGCTGAAGTCAAATACAGCACATAAGCCATGGCGCCCATGGCAAAGCAAGCATATCTAGTTATGAAGTTGCTGGAATAGCTAAGTGGAGCAAATGATTTTGTACTAAATCTGGGTGCGAAGCACGCGTCAGAAACAAGATGCAGCATAATGAAATGAGGCGGCCATGCGAGAGCCAAACCCCGCCGAGAGCACTGCGCAAGCCTAAGGCGGACACAAGAAAACTTGGGCGGCGGCCTACAGGGTTGGACAGTGCCGGGCGAGGAAGCCGGCCTCGGCCTGCATGCACGCAGTGCCAATGCACCAATTGGGAGGAATAACGAGCAGGGGCGAAAGACAGGAGGAAAGGAGGAGGGGGCAAATGCGCGCTATCGCCGAGCGTCCCCAGATAGAAAGGCCGCAGACAGCCTGCAAACTTCAGGGCGCCAACCGAATGGCACCACGATTCCACGGAGCAGCACGCTCCCACAAAGGCCTCCGAAAACCGAGCTGCTGCACACGGGGGGGAGCGAGGAAGAGAAAGAGACGAGAGGGGGGGCCTCAATTCCCGTCCGCTGGGAGTGAAAGCGGCAACTGCCCACACACGCCGGTCCCGGCCTCACGCTGCAGGTGCCCGCCATGCCGCCCCACGCCGTGCGGCCAGAACTCGTAATACACCTTGCAGCCAACTTCGTTCCTGAGGGCGGATCCTGGTCAGAGCCTGTAGGTGAAAGAAGACACACCAATTTACAGAAGCCCCAACGAAACCCCAAGACACAACCAAGCAGCGCAACCAGAACCAGCAAAAAAACAGCAAAAAAACAGAAACCGAAGCCCGACCAAACGATTGAGGGCCCACGCTGTCCTGGGGGTGCGCAGCACTGCTGGGGCTTGGTGCTGCTGGTGGGCTGTCTTGCTGTTCAATGTCGTACTGCTGCAGCCCGTCGTGCCGTACAGAAATGTGCAGCTCCGCCGTGCTGTTCATCGGCATGCGCTCGGAGTCGAGACGGTGGTATCTGTCGTGCTACGTGTACTCTGCTGTCATGGTCCCGGGTGCGGCACTCCGCCGTGGTGCAGCGTCGGACTGCTGGAGTCTGTCGTGCTGCACGCCGTCGTACTGCACGCCGTCGTACTGCAGCAGCCCATTGTGTAGCTCAAGATCGTGTTGCTGGTATTTGTCGCGCTGTGTGCCAGAAACAAGAATGCTGTAATCCGTCAAGCCGTCCCCGGGAGGGCGTTGGTGCCGGCGTAAGCGCTGGCTTGGTGCTGGCGTCGGTGATGACGTCAATGCTTGGGTAGGCACCGGTGTTGGTGCCAACGTAGGCGCTGGCCTTGGTGCTGGCTTCGGTGCTGGCGTCGGCGCTGGTGTAGTCGCTGGCGTTGGTACCGGCGCAGTCGCCGGGGTTGATGCTGGCGTCGCTGCTGGCGCCGGTGCTGGTGAAGGCGCCCACTTCGGTGATGCCGTCGGTGCTAATATCGGTGCTGGTCTAGGCGCTGGCGTTGGGGCCAGCGCATGCGCCGGTGTCCGTGCTGGCGTCAGTGCTGGCGTCGACGCTGGGCTAGGCGTTGGCGGTGGTGCCGACGTATGCGCAAGCGTTGATGCTGGCGTCGGTGCTGGCGTTGGTGCTGGCGTAGGCGCTGGCTTGGTGCTGGTGTGCTGGCATTGGTGCTGGCGTAGGCGCTGGTGGCCGTCGCACTGCTCGTGCCACTCTTGGATGTCGAAGCCGAAGTGGCATATCGCTTGGCCTGGTGCTGGCGTCGGTGCTGGCGCTGATGATGGCGTAGGTGCTGGCGTTGGTGCCGGCGTAGGCGCCTACTTGGTGATGGCGTCCGTCGATGCTGGCGTTGGTGCTGGCGTAGGCGCCGGCTTGGTGCTGGCATCGGTGCTGGCGCTGATGCTGGCATCGGTGCCAGCGTTGGCGCCGGTGTAGGCGCCAGCGTTGTTGCTGGCGTCGGTGCTGGCGTCGGTGCTTGTGTAGGCGCCGGCGTTGGTGCCGCCGCAGGCGCTGGCGTTGGTGCTGGCGTCGGTGCTGGCGTCGGGGCTAGTGTAGGCGCTAGCGTTGGTGCCGGCGTGGTCGCCAACGTTGCTGCTGGCGTCGATGCTGGCGCCGGCGCCAGTGGAGGCGCCAACCTTGGTGCTGGCGTCGGTGCTGCCATCGATGCTGGTGTAGGCGCGGGCGTTGGTGCCATCGCATGCGCCGGCGTTCGTGCTGACGTCAGTGCCGGCGTCGGCGCTGGCGCTGGTGCAGAGGCTGGCGGTGGTGCCGGCGTATGCGCATGCTGGCGTCGGTGCTGGCGTCAGTGCCGGTGTAGGTGCCGGCTAGGTGCTGGCGCTGAAGCTGTCGTCGGTGCTGGCGTTCGTGCCGGCGTAGTCGCCAATGGCCGTCGTACTGCTCGTCGTCGTGCTGCTGCGCGGGGGGGGCGTAGCCGAGGAAGGTGAAGGCGAGCAGGACGTAGCGGAGGAAGGAGAAGGTGAACAGGATGAGGTCGGCGCGGGGCTGCGGAGCCCACTGCAGCTCTAGTTGGCCTGGAGGCCCGCCCTGTCCAGCACCCGAATGGCGCGAGGATGCCCTGACACCAGGTCCCGCACGGCTTGATGCAAAGCCTCGCGTGCCATGGCTGGCGTACGCCGGGTGGAGTGGCGCCACCAGTTGTGCACCTTGTACACAGCATAGACACATGCTGACAGGATAAGCCTTGCTGCGGCGAGCCTTCGCTGTCCATGCCCCCGAGGAGCCTCACCTGCCTGAGCTGCAGGTGCACCGTGGCCTCGTTCCCGACATTGTAGGTCGAGAGCGCGCGCCTGGACTCCATCAGCTTTCCAGCGTAGGTCAGACGTTGTTGGTCTGTCTGGATGCCTTCCTTGTCCTGGATCGCGCTCATGATGGAATCGACCATGCCGTCCGCCAGGACATCCAAGCAGATGGACTTCCGGCCCGGTAACTTCACGAAGATCTGCAAACCTCCTGTCGCGGGCTTCCGCACATCCTGCTGGTGCTGATGGGTGAGACGGCTCTGCTGCTGCTGCTGCTGCTGCTGCTGCTGGTTTCTTCATCATTAGACTCATCACCGATCCTCACCATCACCATCCCCATCATCATCACCATCACCACCATCATAATCATCAGCAGCATCAGCATCAGCATCAGCATAGTCATCAGCAGCAACATCATCATCATCAGCTGCAGCACCAGCATCATCATCAGCATTATCAACATCATCAGCATCATCATCGGCATCACCATTATCAGCATCATAGTCACCACCACCATCATCACCACCATCACCATCATCATCACCATCACCGTCACCATCAGCATCATCAGCATCATCACCATCAGCACCAGCATCATCATGAGCATAACCATCTACATCATCAACGTCAGCATCATTAGCAGCATCATCAGCACCATCATCACCACCATGAGCATCATCTTTGTCATACTAATCATCATCATAACCACCATCACCATCATCATCGCCATCGCCATCTCCATCATCGGTATCATCATCATCCTCAGCATCATCATCGGCATCAGCATCATCAAAATCATCAGCATCGTCATCATCATCATCATCATCCTCAGCATCATCATCATCAGCACCATCATCATCAGCAGCATCATCATTATACTTATCATTGAAATTGTGATACTAAGCACCACCATCATCATCATTACCACCATCACCACCATCATCATCACCATCACAATCACCATCATCATCAGCATCAGAAGCAACATTATCGTAACCATCAACATCATCATCATCAACATCATCATCAACATCATCATCGTCATTATCACCATTATTATCATCATCATCATCACCATCACCATCACCATCACCATCACCATCACCATCACCATCATCATCATCATCATCATCATCATCATCATCATCATCATCATCATCATCATCCATCGTGGTCCTCCTCCATCATGGTCTTGCTCCTCGTCCTCCTCTTTCTTCTCATCATCCTGCTTTTCACAACTAAATGGAGGAGGCTGATGAGCAGGATCCTCATCATCAGCCACCCCAACATCATCATCAGCAACAACATACGCAACAATCACCACTGTCACCATCATCGGCAAGGCCGATATCCGAGTCGACCAAATTGCCCTCTGAATCCTTCGTGATGTGAATGCCTGTTGTGGTACTCTTCCGGCCCAACGCTGCAAACCTGCAATCGATCGAATTATTCCGGACCTGTGTTCCGTGGGCGTCGTCTGTCGCTGGCGCGTAGTTCCTGCATGTCCACGAGGATATCCTGCTTCGTCAGGTTCAGAGCGAACATGCGCAACGCACCCCTACAGGTCGCGGGGCTCGCGCTCGGCGGTGCCATGGATCTCCGCAAGGCCTGCGGAAAACGTCGACGGACGGCAGAAACAGATGAGCAGGTGCCCTGCTCGATGGCGGCGAGGACTCCGAAGGCAGTGGCCGCCGTGGCCTTGATCTCCACCTCTTTTAAGGTAGCTGGCGCCCTGGGACGTATCGTCGAGGGCCTCCAACACTTGATGCATGCCAGCCTTGATCATGCGGAGGCGGTGCAATGGGTCCGGCGCGCCACGGTCCTTGGCGTGCTAGTTGACCATGTCGTGATACGCCCGGGGAGTACGGATGGCGAAATCGGGGTGCGCCAAATGCCGAGGGCGGAGGTGTAGTAGATAGTCGCCTTGTGCCGCCAGCCGCCGTCCAAAGGCAAGAGGGCGATGATCCGAAACTGCCGGGTCGCCCGCCGAGGTCGCCATCGGCCACGGCATGCCTGTGCAGTGGATCGCGCCCCGGAACTAATCGGCCGCGCGGTGGGAGACGCAAGCCCTGTCCAGGCGGCCTCGTGCATCGATGGAATGCTATGAATGCTGAACGGAAGAGCTCTTGCATGTGTCGGTCTGGCTACCTGCTCTTGCCAATAGGTCTCCTCGGTCCTGTCGCGCCGCCCTGAGATGGAGCCGCTGCGCAGACGGAGCCGGCCCTCATCGCCAGCGACATAAGTGAAGCCACCCGTGACCACCCGGAGAGCGCGCAGTCTGGCGTTTACCATGGCACGGATGTCGTTCCTGACTTGCTCCCGTGGTGCACATCGGCTTCGACCAGATGGCAAATAAACAGAAACGATCGATATATCACCAGCTTCGCCAAAGAGGTGCAAAGCTGCCGCGCGGCTCGGCACGGGCTCAACCCAGTCCTGCTTCTTGACTGGATAGATTTCGGTCAGGAAGCCGTTCTTAAAGATGAGGCCAACTCCGCTTTGGTGGCGGGAGCCATGCGACCAAGCCGCCGCAGTGCCATCTGGGAGCCGGACAGAATTGACGCCGTCATTCGACAAAAGCTTCACGGAAACCACGGCGGCGGCAGTGGAGCGCGACTCCCGCGCCGCGAGGAAGTCGTGCTCCCTAAGAACCTGGTTCAAATATGACAATATTCTTTTCTGGAGGTCCACGTCGTACGCGAAGAGGCCCCTCGCGACTCGCGTTCCAGGCGATGCCCTTGCACTCACCTGAAGAAGGCGTGCCCTGCAAAGACGTCCAGTGAAACGAAACGACTGTTGGTTGCTCGAAGCCGGAGGTGGCGCGTGGGGAAGAAAACCCAGCCGGAGAGGCAGAAAAGCTCGCCGACGACCCAAGTTTAGTCGAAGGTGGATGTAAGAAGCTCGGAGGCAAACTCGTCGAAGGAGAAGATGAGCATAAAGTAGAAGGAGTGGACCTCGTCAACATTTTCGAAGAAAAAGCCGAAGTCACCGAACCAGGATGCCAGAACGGAGGCAGGGATGGCGAGCAAGTATGCATAGAGGGCGGAACCTCCAAGGGTGCTGGGACGGATGGCAAAACTGCTCCCAGAACCTCTGAATTCAAATCACCGGCAAAAACTGCACAGCAATATTCCACGGAAGGGAGAATGAACATTTTGTTGCGTTCTTGGGACCCCCTATCCTGGAGCGGCCTGACATTGCAGCCAGAGGAGGTGTGGCCTATCGCCGCCTCTGGCCGCTATTGCCCGATCTCGTCGCATTCGGTTGCGCAGACTGGGTCGGGTAGTCGTGCGGGATGCGGATCTGGAGGCGGCGCGCCCCAGTCAGACCTGCGACGCATAGGTCCCCATTGTTGTCACAATCTGCGGCGAGGGAGCCTCCACCAAGATACCTCCGTCCCAGCTCCCCTCATTCTCGCTGATGGCCGCCAGCTGCCCGGGGTCTGGCGGCACGTCGGAGGCGCCCGGGGTCCACATGGTGCCGAGAGCCTGGGTCAAAATACCTACGATGGTGTCGATGATCGTGGACGGGTCGGAGGTGGTGTCGGAATGGGTCTGTATTGTATATGAATCGTGCTGATCGCTGGTCCCGTCATCCCGGCCCAATCGTCACGCAGAGCGGCTGCCGCAGCCAGAGTGAGCGCTTCCGGGATGACCCATTCGTGTCCGCCTCTGGTGCTCCGTGTCCATGTTAGTTTAAGCACACGGTCGTCACTGCCGTCCTGGAGCTGCTTCGTGAGGAGCTGTTCCCATTGTGAACGGGCGGTGCACAATGAGCACGCCCCGTTTGGCCGTCAATAAAACCAGCTCATCGTAGAGCTGACGGCAAGCAAATACCCCGGCGGGCGCGGTGTAGTCGACGATCAGCGCGCCCGGATCATGCAGCATATTTGTGTGGCCGATAGCGCAGTCGGCAATGTTCCTGAGGCGAGCGCGGGTCATGTCCAGGAATATAGAGGTCCTCACAGATTTGCCATCTTGATAGACGACCAACCGATGAAGGCGGTCGCTAGTGCTCGGCACTGGCGTGCTCCAGCACGAAATGCCAGCCCACGGGTGCGTCTCGAGCATCTTTGTCATATCTGGTAGTGCCGACACTGGGGAGTCCACGATGAGGGCCTCCGATGTGGCGATGTGTCGGGCCGTCGGCAGCCAACTCCACGAAGTGCAATCTGGAAATGCCCCTGGATGTTGTCCACAGTGCCCAGCGTGATGATCACTAGTAGTTGTTTTCCTTTTAATGGGCCCACTGTGGTCTCCGAGAGCACCCGCACGGGCTCGAGGATGACTATGACTTCGGTCGCGAACTTCCGGGCGTCCGCTTTCAGCAGGTGTGGTGACCAATAGTCGCACAGGGCGTCTGGCGGAAGGCCTCCCAGCAAGGCGGGGCGTGGTAGGAGTAGTGACATGCGAGCATGTGGACTCTCTCGCCACCACCGTCGAAACGTTGCCAAAAGCCTCCCTGTAGAGGCCGAATCCTCGGGAGCCCAACCGGGCCAATGAGAACGGCCAAGGTCTTTGAAGCTCTGGATGGCCGTTTTCCCGTCCTTGATCAGATTGTCTCGGATCTGACGTGCCAGGAGGGGCGGCAAGGCCCCATGGATGCTATCTATCGGTAGGTCCTGCAGGTTGGACAGCTGGATCCCCACCACGCCGGCGTCCAGGTAAGGGGCGATGTAGTCGAGTGTACTCCGTCTCGTGGTACCCTGGGAGGGAGTCCTTGACTCTGCGCCGCAATGCCTTGCTTAACGTGGGCAGCAGCGCTAGGCAGCGCCCGGTGTCCTGGTGCATCCTGTCCCTCATGTCCTGGCATTGTTGAGCCTCCTGGCTCATGTCCTGGCATTGTCGGCCAACGTCTGCGATACTCCGGGGTCAGCGGCGGCGGTATGCTGAAGGTCCGCCATGCCCTGCGTGGCCTCGGAGCCCTCGTATTCCTCGGCCATGCTCGTGTCAGAACCTGGGGGCGGTCGGGGCGGCACCAGCAGCTGCGCCCGGGGTCGCTCCGAGAGGCTGATGCGCCGCCATGGCGGCCGGAATCGGTCGGGCCCGGAATCGCTCGAATCGGTCGAGAACACGCCCAGGCCCGGGCTTGACGCGGGCCACCTTGCTTGAGCCACCTTGCTTGAGCCACCTTAAGCCACGGCCCTGGAGCCCGAGCTCGAAGGAGAACGCCAGGATTGAAAAAGTAACGGCGTCGCACATCTGGGGGGCACTGCCCTGCAGACAGCCCGCTGCCAGGCCGCCCGACCTCGTCGCGCTTGAGCGCCCACCCTCGCAACGCGCGAGGCGCCCGGCTGCCCTCGAAGGCTCTCGCGCCGCGGCTCTGGCGGCCACCCTGGATGGCGCCGCGTCGCGAAGGCGTTTTAAGTGCGACGAGGTCGGACGGCCTGGCGGCGGGCTATCTGCGGGGCAGTGCCCGTGCTTGGGCTCGCCGCCTCGGTCGGTGCGCGCTGCGCGCGATGCATTGGCGATGCACCAGCGACGTCGGAATGGAGAACATCGGGCTCCGAATCGGGCTGCAAGCCGAGGAATCGACGATGCGGCACGATCCTCCGACCCCATCTGAGCAGCCCTTAGCCCATGGAGAGGGACAGCTCTCCAACCCAGACCAAGACGCGCGGTTATCCTCGTGTCAGCTATACGCAACAATCACTGTAGGCAAAGGTGACCTTTGGTGCGCGGCTTTCGGGGAGACGTGTGGGGCCAAACCCAAGCGAGCAAGCCGCTGCTAGCGTTTGACGATCGGGGGACCCCATTGGGCCAGCACCGAAGATCACTCCAGAGAAGGGTCACTCTTACGCGTAGCCGATCGTGCCCCTACGGGTTACCCAGGTGCTGCGAGGGGCCACGGCTGCCGCACCTGGCGCATCTAAACAAGCTCAGCCACGCTCGCCAGCACGTTGCACCGTGCATCCCCTGAGGTATGGGACCAGGTGCGGGTGGTCGGACGAGGGCCGAGCTGGGCACGTCACGCGCTCCACACCAGGAAGTCTGCAGTGCGGCATGTAGGAACCGACACATGGGGCAACATTGCATATCGTCACCAGGTTCTCTTTCCGAGTAGCGCGAAGCTTGGGCTGTAGAGAGGAGTCGGCGCTGGCTCCAAGGCCCGCCATCTTCGTCAACCATCGCATGGCAGCGGCACGTTCACCAGAAGTCGGTGCAGCGACTTCCATCATTTTGTTCTCATCCTCCTCCTCCTCCTCCTGGAGCTCTACTTCCCTCATCCTCATACCCCCTCCTTCGCCCACTCCTCTTCATTCTGCTGCGTCTCATCCTTCACATCTGCCGTCTGCTCTGCCTCAAACTCCTCATCCTCATCATCATTCATTGTCCCGTCACCCTCCTCCCCCTCTTCCTCCTCCTCCTCCTCCGCCTCCTCCTCCTCCTCCTCCTCATCCCCCTCTTCCCCATATCACCATAACCACCACCAACAACATCATCATTATCATCTGCAGCATCGTCATCAGATTGATCCTCCTCCTCATCATCCTCATCGCCCCCCTCCTCCTCATCATCAGCATCATCATTCCCAGCATCAGCATCAGCAGCATCATCATCACCAGTACCATCATCAGCAGTAGCGTCATCAACATCAGCAGCACCATCATATTCATCATCATGCCCATCACAATCACCATCACTATCACCACCATCATCATCATCATCATCATCATCATCATCATCATCATCATCATCATCATCATCATCATCATCATCATCATCACCATGAGCACTCCTCTTGCACGCCTGGCTGCTTCTCCACATCCTTCACCATCCACCACAGCCTGATCATCATTAACTGGTCCTATAGGTTGTTCAACCTGTGGGCCCAATCGTTTGGCCACAGAGGAGGGTTTCAAAAAGGCAGGGGGGCAGCGGTGATTCGCCGTAGGCGCCTTCGATTATAATCGCCGCAGCTACATCATCAATCCATCTCTGGAAAAGGCCCCTATCACAAACCTGATCTCCCTTGCCCCTCCTTGTCCCCCTGTAACCACATTACCCCCTCAATGCCATACGCCTCCCAAGAGCATCAACATCCTCATAATAACCACCACCACAACGATCAGCATCGTTGTCATCAGCATCACCATCACCCGCATCATCTTTGTCATTACCCTCAGCACCCCCTATCATCATCACCATCAGCGCCCTCAACCTCACAATCACCACCACCATCACCACCGCCATAATCATCATCTGTCACAGCATCATCATTATCAGCAGCAAGATCGTCATCACCATCAGCACCACCATCCTCATCACCACCATAATACACATTATCGTCAGCACCATTGGTAACAGTAAAGGGCCATTCCACCCCCCAGAACCCTCCCCCCGCAATAGGGGGTACCTAATTATTTGCTCGGTGGCATTATTCACGGACTGGGGTCACAACAACACGGGATGCCTGATTATGTTGTGCCGCTTCGCCGCGCGACAGAGACGACGACAACTACTACGATTGCGACGAATGCTAGCCTCAACAGCGCTCTCACGGACAACCCTACCTCGGAAACTCGATTCTCAGAAACTGTATCCTCAGCGGCCCTATCCTCAGAAGGACTGTTGGAACTCAGGCCCCACGTGGACACTCGGGATCCATCCTCATAAGCTCCATGCTCAGGAAGATTGTGGGCAACACCTTCGGCGAAGAGTGTGTCGATCTGTATTGCAATGCTCTTACAAACGTGGTCAACATCCCTCTGTCGCGCAGAGCAGCCCAGAAGGCGTTATTCCTTGGGGGACAAGTACCCCCAAGTGTACCAAACCCGCCCAACAATGGAGGATAAATAACCTCCACCGCGACGGCGACGACTCTTACGACTACGACCCAGACTACGATCACGATTGCGAGTACAACGTAGCGACGGCTACGAGTACAATCGCGACCAGAATCACGAATCCAATCACGATTCGAACCACGACTGAAACCACTACTGCAAACACAGCCACTGATTCCCACTGCAACCCCAATGAGAAGATGTTCACAAATCCCCTCGCGTGTACGGTAGCCGACAATTGGTTATCCCTTGGGGGAGATGCGCACCCAACAGTACCCAACCCGCCCAATCATAGAGGTGAGCTACCCCCGCCTCAGCAACGATAACGACGACGACAACGGCCCCGCCGACAGCACAGGTCGTAGCAAAATAGCAGTAGCAGCAGTAGCAGCAGAAGCCGTAGTAGGAGACGTAGTAGACATAGGAATAGGAGTAGACGAACTAGTACAACAGCAGCAGCCGCACAAATAGTAGCCGAAGTAGCCGTAGTAGTAGTAGCAGTAGTAGTAGTAGTAGTAGTAGCAGTAGTAGTAGCAATAGTAGCAGTAGTAGTAGTAGTAGTAGTAGTAGTAGTAGTAGTAGTAGTAGTAGTAGTAGTAGTAGTAGTAGTAGTAGTAGTAGTAGTAGTAGTAGTAGTAGTAGTAGTAGTAGTAGTAGTAGTAGTAGTAGTAGTAGCAGTAGTAGTAGTAGTAGTAGTAGTAGTAGTAGTAGTAGTAGTAGTAGTAGTAGTAGTAGTAGTAGTAGTAGTAGTAGTTTGTAGTAGTAGTAGTAGTAGTAGTAGTCGTCGTAGTATTAGTAGTAGTAGTAGTAGTAGTAGTAGTAGTAGTAGTAGTAGTAGTAGTAGTAGTAGTCATAGTGGCGGTAGTAGTAGTAGTAGTAGTAGTAGTAGTAGCAGTAGTAGTAGCAGTAGAAGTGGGAGTAACAGTACTAGTAGTAGCAACATAAGTAGTGCTAGTCGTCGTAGTAGTAAACATGGAATTAGCAGGAGTATTAGTAGTAGTAGTAGTAGTAGCAGCAGCAGTAGTAGTAGTTGTAGTAGAAATAATAGCAGCAGCAGCAGTAGTAGTAGTGATAGTAGTCGTGGTAGTAGCAATAATAATAGTAGTGGTGGTTATGGTAGTCGTAGTACGAGTTCGAGTGGTAGTAGTAAGGGTATTGGCGGCATCGGCAAGCGTAGTAGTAAAAGTAGTAAAAATGGTAGTAGGAGTAATGGTAGAAGACGTCGTAGTAGTAGTAGTAGTAGTAGTAGTAGTAGTAGTAGCAGTAGTAGCAGTAGTAGTAGTAGTAGTAGTA